ATAAAAGTAAAGGCCATTGTAGACTGGCCGGTTCCAAAGAATTAGAAGGACTTGTGTAGGTGGGTTGGTCTCGCCAACTACTTACACAAGCACAGCGTAAATTACGCAGAAATGGCCCGGCCATTATCCAATCTCCTTAAAAAGATGCGGAATGGTCTTGGAACACCGAACATCAGAAGGCTTTTGACGGGGTCAAAGACAGCCTCTTGCATGCACCGATACTGGCGCTCCCTGATCGTCCTTTCAGCGTCGTCTGTGACGCTTTGGACTCTGCCCTCGGCTGTGCACAGCTGCAAGCAGACGCCGAAGGGCGAGATCGGGTGATCGCGTTCGAATCGTGACTGCTCAAAGCTGCAGAGAAGAACCATCCTGTTCATGACAAGGAGCTACTTGCGATAAAGTATGCACTTTTCAAGTTCAGGGTCGACCTGCTCGAACCCAAGCCGTTTGTGATCTATACAGATCATGCGTCATTACGCACTGCGACTAAGTCGCCCCACCTCTCGCAGAGTATGGCTAGATGGCTATCCTTCTTTGCGAAATATAACTTCGAGGAGAAGTATTAGCCGGGAAAGCAGAATGCTTTGGCTTATGCGTTGTCACGCAGACCAGACCATGAGCTTGCTCATGTTACAACTGTAACGTCGTCTATGACGGAGTTGATCCGCACCGCGTATGCGGGTGATGGGATGTGTGTAGCGTTGCTACGGGCTCTAGGAGCAAGGCGTTTGGAAACTAGAACAAGAAATTGTCAGCAAGATTGCGTGCACGATTGCACTGGTATTCATTGAAGAACGGTTTGCTAAATTATAGCACCAATTCAACGGATACACCACGAATTGTGGTTCCTCATGATCAGGATTTGAAATGCCGCATCCTCTTTGAGGCACACGATACGCCATTCAGTGGTCGTCTTGGTCGTGAGAAAACGTACAACTCTGTAAGTCAACACTATTAGTAGCCCAAGTTGTACAAATGGACGAGCACCCACGTTCGCACGTGTGAGACGTGTCAGCGGGTAAAACCAGCCTTAAATGCGGCTGTGCCTCTGGCCAGCTTACCGGTACCCACTAGGTGCTGGTAGCCCATGAGTTTGGACTTTGTGTTTGGCCTGCCGAAAGATTCGGCAGGCAACACGATTATCGTGGTATTCGTCGACCGGTTGAGCAAGATGGCTCATTTGACGGCGGTTTCAGACCCCATCGACGAAGTCGGTACAGCAAAGCTGTTCGTGGGTCGTCTTTTCCGTCACCACGGACTCCCAGAGTCGATTGTCTCTGATAGAGACCCCGTTTTGCGGGAAAATTTTGGTCGTCGACTATCTTCAAGCTACTAGACACCAAGTTCGATATGTCGACAGCGGATCATCCGAAGACCGATGGTCAAACCGAAAGGGTGAATCACGTCATCGAAGATGTTCTTCGCAGCGTCTGTGCTGAGACCACGTGGCGCTGGAGCGCCATGTTGCCAATCGTAGAGTTTGTACTGAACAATGCAGTGCATCGTCTACCGGCTATACGCCGCTCTACGTGAACGGGCTGATTCATCCTCGCGTTCCGCCGACGCCGCCACCCCATGGCTTAGGGCTTGGTGAGGGAGAAATAGCCGAACGGCTAGCTGATGTCAGCCTTCTTACCATACATAAAGAAGTCGATGACCTTCTGTCTACCAGACTGAGTGTCCTACGACACGTTCGCGATGCGATGGCTAAAAGCGAAGATCTGCAGAAAGCATATGCAGATGAAAAAGGAAGAGGCAAAGTGAAAATTATAAGGTCGGGGACCTGTTTTATTCAAATTCTAAAAACCAGCCTACACATGCAGCCGCTGCTGTCCTCAGGACGAAGCTTCGTCCACGGTTCATCGGACCGTTAAAGGTTGTGGTCAAGCGGGGCCACGCATATACGCCGAACCTCCTAAAACGGATGCGCACCCACTCGGTGTTTTACGTGGGCTTTCTCAAGCCGTACCGGGATCCGGCCCAAGTGAACGCGGGAGCGTTGGTGTCAATGCGGATCCCACGGGCCCTCGGCCACTCAGAAGTTGAACCAGCAACTGGTTCTGAGCACGGAGTGCAACAACCTCCATTTCTAATGGCGCCAAGCGCTCCACCGTCGCATGCAGCGACGCATTCGCCTGCTCCACGACTAGGAGTTGCTCCGACAGAGCGCAGTAGTCCTCGAGGCGAGGCAGCCGACGCACGACGTGCTTTAAAACGTCAAGAGCTCCGCACAGCGATATGCTACTTCAGCATGACGCTCAGCGGAGCTCCGATCACGAAAGA